ACCATGCACTTGTATGTGCTGACCTGCGGATGCGCTTTGGCGGACGCCAGCGGCGATGTTGTGATCGCATTGACACCGGCAGACTTGTGAAGCCAGCTGTTCTGAATGCCTATCAAAGCATGCTGTCATGCGAGTTGGATAAACGCTCGCTGGATGCAATTGAAGCTCAATGGTCTCATATGCAACAGGCCTTACTAGCAGCAGGAAATTCCTCATGTGATATGTCTAATCGCCAACATGACCATTGGGTCTCTTCAAGTCTCTGGAACCTATAGATGCTTGCCGGCATATTCCGGCTGGAAGCGAACACAATGAAACTCGCAAAGAGCTGTGGGCGAAGCTCCGCGCTAGCCTGAAGGTAAACCGCGAATCTTGGTGAACTCGTCGTGCAACAGAGCTGGAAATGGCCGCTGCACTTGGTAACCACCGTGAGTTCTTCCCTCTTATACGGGAAACGGGCAGAAGGAGACCTGTTGTTAGTGAAACTATACGTGACGAGAGTGGACAGCTTATCCACAACTTAACAAAGCGTTTGGAGCGTTGGGCTGAGCACTTTGAAAGACAATTTACTCGGTCGGATTTGTTAGATTTCTCGCCGATTATTGATCGCCCTGCTCCGTGTGCTGTTTATTTGTATCCACCCTCTCGCTCAGAAGTCAAACATGAGATCATACTGTTGAAGTTAAATAAAGCCGCGGGACCTGATGATCTTCCTCCAGCCCTCTAAAATTCGGGGGACCTGTGTTGTGGATGGTTTACACGAGTTACTAGTCAAACTGTGGGAGCAGGAAACTGTCCCAACCGATTGGAGCCGCTCCATCTTAGTCCCAATTTTCAAAGGAGGCTCACGATCAGAATGCAGCAGCCATAGAGGAATTAGTCTGAACTCCATCGCCTCCTAATTGCATGCCTCTGTCATCCTTCACAAACTGACTGGCACTCGTGAAATCCAGGTTCGCGAAGAGCGAGCTGGATTTCGTCGAGGTCGTAGCTGCATTCACATCTTCACCTTGCGTCAGTTGTTGGAGCACCGTCACATATATTGGCGGCCCACTGTAGTCGTGTTCCTCAATATCAAAGGTACATCCGATTCAGTGTATAGACTTTCATTCTGGGAAGGTCTACTCAGGAAAGGTGTACCTGCGAAATATGTGAATATTATCCGAGCAATATATGCGCATAGCGTGAGCAGAGGGAGGGCTTACGGCCAATTATCGTCGCCCATTAATATCTCCAGCGGCGTAAGACAAGGATGTCCGCTGTTACCTTTTCTCTTCAACTTCGCTATTGACGAAGTCATG